TGACTGGAATTTTTGGGGCCCATGGGAAAATGTGAGTGAGTTCAGGCCTTAACTCTCTCTGACATCTCCTCCCACAGAGCGTGATGCGTCATTAGGGGGGAACCCTCATGCCAGTAATTCATAAGAAAAGCTTGTGGCTAAAATTGTACTTTCTAATAGTAATGTGTCAAATGAAAATAAGAAAATAATGTGAAAGGATGGTTTGCTAGTGATCAACCTACGGAAAATGGTCACCTGGTTCTGCTGCTCCCCTCGTATTCACAGACTTTAAAGTGTATCAGCTTATTGTTTTTCTGCCATGCAACTTTTCTCATCTTTAGGCGGAGCAAGCAGTCTTTTACGTAGTGAACATATCATTAGCAGCAAAAGAGCCTGATATTTAAGCAAATATACGATAATAGTTCTGTAACAGCTGCATACATGGAACTGTTTGCTATCATATTCAGAATATATCAATTTAATTGGGACATAAGATGATAATTTTGTAGGTTTATATTTGACTTCTTATTGAAGATGCCTAGGAAAAAACACAACATTTAACTCATACTCTCTGTCTAATATACCTCCATTACCTCCTGTTCAAAACAATCGGTTCTAGTGCCTGTCTCTTTAAGTCCCCCTCCCAAAACAGCTCTGCTCTGATAAGCTTGAAAGATAAATAAGCAGCACATATGCAAAGGTAGTTTTTAAACTATGGGTGGAGATACTCAGATTGGGGGTGGTATTTTCAAATGAGCGTGCATGCGACACAGGGGAGGAGCCAATCCTGAATGAGTTGTTGAATCACATGATTTCAGGGGTAGGAGTCACTCCAGATATAATTTATGAGCACAAAAACTGAATACGTGAGTTTTTCATGATATTTCCCCTTTAAAAAAGCGACGACATGTCAATGTGTTTACGACTTGTTTCTACCGCCCCCAAGTGGCCAACAAATCAGTTATTGCAGGTTAGAAATAATGTCTACTTTGATCCTAAAATAGCAAAAGGAATACTATGAACAAAAGTTTAATGGGGATTACAAGAATAATCAAATATGAAAAGTAGTTTTGACCTGAAATAGAAGGCATACCTCACCGCACACTCATAGACATTAGATACTTTCATATTTAGGAGCTTTGTGGATTTAGCTTTTGATGTTCAGATAAAGATTCACAAATATAAAATGTTTTCTGCTTTTCAATGGACTATTACTACAGCTTCAAATTACACTGGACAACAATACTGCTACTATAGACCGGGCGTCAGGTCACAACCTATAAGCAAAACCTGCACTGTAAAATTAGATCTTTACCCCTTTAGTCCTCATGTGTCAATACAGAGTCTGCACTCAGATGAGTTATTAGGAAGTGTTTTCACCACAAATGTGTCGGGGCCCCTTCATTTTTACATGCCTGTTGTTAAGGAATAATTCTTCTAGATATCTAACCTTTTACTCTGACATGTGTTATCTCCTTTAAGGAAAGGCCTTGGTGCCATATGTGTTGTTGTCACCAGTGTGTGACCGGTCAACTTGACTCGTACGAAGGGTAATTGTTGTGGGAACACTGAAGCACTTCTTTATCGGTGTTTGTGGGCTCTAGGATGTGAAATCCTTGAGGCCATGAGCGTCGGACGCAGATGATTCAGTGTTTAGTCTACTCCTTCAGAGATGTTGATTTCTCTCTGTGAACCTGTTAAAAGGTCTAGCATAGAGAGAGGTTCTTCAGAATTGACGTGGCAACTCTACCGTGTGGTCAGAACCTCTGACTCTTTGACTTGTGATGCCGAATACTCTGAATAAACCCATCAGTGTTTGACATCAAAGCTCCAACTCTCACCGTGTCTCCTTCCTGAGTCGGTGACTCCATGCATTACTACACAGAAGTTTCCTCCACACCTGTGACCCACAGACTCACTGGGAGGAGTGACCCGGAACGAAACCCGGTAAGGTAGGTCAGATGTCCGTTTGACACACTCCCCACAGGGGGGACGGGGGACGGGGCAGGAGCTGGGTCGGATTAGTAAGCAGGTGGGAGGAGGCACACCAGGATTTCTTTACAGAATATTCAAAAAGAAAAAAAATCTGAGTTCGTATAGTCGCAGTAAAAGAAACGCTTATATTTTAGGGTGGCTAGTTTTGTGTGATTAACCCTCTTAAAGGTAGGGTATAGGTAAGAATGGAGAAACCAGCTTGAGTGCGCTAGAAAAAAAAGTGTTTCTGAAGTGAATTACCTACCCTACCTTTAATGGTCCTTAGCTGCTCTAATATCGTCTCTATTTAGCAACAATGCAGGATACAATCCAATAAATTAAATAAAAGAGCATACAGTTTTTACAAAATTACCTCCACATTTCTTTTATATCGATAATATGGATTAATGCAATTTAGTATACTTACTTAAGGGAAATATGTTTTTTACAAAAGTTGTATTAAACAAGCAATATTATACTGTATGTATACTGTATACATTGTGTGTTGCAAATGAAGCAGTTTCTCTCAAGAATCATTGAGGGAGCTATTGTAATATAATATAATATAATAAATCTTACAATTACCATTACAGCATGCTGCCAAGGTGACTGTTGATATTACTCCATATTTCATCAGAATTATAAGCAATGGTATTAATTGGTAGCACATTTGATGAAGTTAGAATATCTGGCAAATTTCCTGGAATTAAGGTATTACGCAAGAGGAAATGTTTGAGATATTATTAAGGCTATGCATAAATACTTATAGAATAATGAAGTATTCTCACACACACACACGCACGCACGCACGCACGCACGCACGCACGCACGCACGCACGCACGCACGCACGCACGCACGCACGCACGCACGCACGCACACACACACACACACACACACACACACACACACACACACACACACACTACATACTTTATTATTTTGCGTCAGTTAGACCTTTAAAAGTGTTTTTTAGCTGCTACTGAGGGGCTCAGACCACACTAAAAACATAAGAGTTAATAAAAAAAGTCTTGACATTATTTTGTAAGAACTGGGTTTAAGATGATAAAAGTTTACACAGCACAAAAATATTTGTTAACACAGATGATTTTAAAGAAATGTGATCGGTCTACCCACAATAAAGCACTCAAGTCTACTATACACATCCATGCCAATGCAGATTCATCAGTGTATTGTACTGTGATGTACTGTAGTACCCAGTGGCGTAACAAGGTTGTGATTGGCCCCGGTGCAAATATTGTTTTGGGCCCCCCCATCGCCCCAAACATAAGCGCACGCTGATGCGCTCACACACACACGGACATACACAACCACTCAGAAGCACCACATGTATAAGCTATCAACAACAGCCTGCCCTGGCCTCAGACCACCACAGCCTGACAACGGCACAGCGAACTAAGAAGAGGATTACACCTGTTTCCTTGATGTTTGTCTCTGGGGAATGGGCCGGTAGGCCTACATAGACCGGTTGCTATAATATAGCGTTTGATCTTGGCGTCGGGGGTCTCAATAGCGGCATAGAGTCCCCTATCGGTTGGGGCCCTTGGGGGAACTGTTGGACCACCGCCGGGCACAGACAAATCCAGCCTCTCCTCCTGGCTGGCTGGAGAAGAAGGTCGCACAGCCACGACCACGCCATACAGCTTCACTTGTGGAGCTAGATGGCAATGATGGTGGTGAGCTATCATTAGCCTCCGGCTCCGGCTGCCGCTGCACGTCAACATTGCTAACGTTAGCGCTCGATTTCGAGGACGATGTATGACAAAAAAAACGGTCTAATTTTGTCAGTTTAGCTGTTACATTTCCTTGTTCTCTCTTGTCCTTTCTCTTTTGAGCGCCGCGCTTGTGCTTTGGTTTGCTGTACATTATAAATGCAAGCTATTCGATTTGTTATAATGCTGCCGAACTTGCTGCTGCTAGCTACAGTACAGTACAGGTTGATTAAACGGTTCTCTCGTCACGCAAGGTATCACATGACATGAAAGGGAGCAAGGTCATTGGACAGACAAATTACAAATTAATTTAGGTTGCTTGGTTACTTTGAAGACTGCGTGAATGCCATTGGGCCCCAAAAAAAATATATAAAAAAAGAATATTAAAAACATATATATTATTATTATTATTTTTCTTTTTGCATGGGCCCCTTGCCGGCTCGGGGCCCCGGTGCGTTGCACCGGCTGCACCGTCGATAGTTACGCCACTGGTAGTACCTTAAAGTCCTGCCTTGGCAGCATGATTACAAACATGTGACTTGAAATGGTCATTGGTCAGCCCCTCATGGGAAAATGCTTGTGTTTAGTCAGGGCAGGTAACTGTAGTTCCTTTCACACCCTGACTCTAGCTTATCTGTGTTTGTTTTCCTCGATAATGTGGTCACATCAGTTTATGGCATGTTTTGTATCTGACCTCTGCTGGTAATTTATTCTGACCAATCAGATGTAAGACCCAATGAACAGATCATCAAACCTAGAAATTGTTTATCAATAATCTTGCCACGTTTGGCACATATTGTAAAGTATCCTTAAAAGACAACATATATTATATTGCAAAAGAAACACTTTGCCAAAGCCAGTTGCTGCTTTGTTTCCAAATCTAGGTTATGTAACTCAGGGAAAGTTTGAACAAAAATGATCTGGTCTTTGAACTGGTTTGAATTTGACTGAAGCAGGACAAATCTAACCTGAATAAAGCAAGAGCTTTAAGTGTTTTATGTATCTTTATATTTGAATATTCTGTGTTATGGTAATGAGTAAAGGAAATAATATTTCAACTAAACTTTCTGCCCCATGAAAAGGTGTGTGTGATTATTGGGTTTCGGTTTGTTTTCGGCCTGATATGATAACATAACTATTTTCCCTAATACTATTTTTAGTATTAGGAAAAAGTTAGGAAACCGTGAGAAAGAAGCACCTGTTTAACCTCCACAATGATATTTGCCCGTCTGTCATTGGTCCAGGAAAGATAGAAAACGGTTATAAATACTAGCAGTGAGGCAGCAGGTGAGTGTGAACTCTTTTCAAGAGGAAACATGAAGTTGGTTATTCTGCTGGCTCTGTTCGGGTCAGCCTCGCCCAGCACAACCCCCACACCAAGCAGGGCAGGACAGCCATCGTGCACCTGTTCGAGTGGCGCTGGGCTGACATCGCTGCAGAGTGTGAGCGCTTCCTGGCTCCTAATGGCTTCGGTGGAGTTCAGGTATGTTTGAACAGAAGTGAGCTTTTTTAATCTAGAGAGGGATTGCACTCCCATAAAGTCAACTCAATTCATTAATCATAAACAGCAATATCTTGACTTGTGGAATGTATCAAAACACCATAATTCTGTTTTTTTATTATCCCTTCATGAAATAATTCTGAAATCCTAATAATTTCTTCACAGTCTGATCACTACTCCTTCAAGTTCATGTGTACAAATACTGCAAACCTTTTTTTTTAACATTAATCTCCTGTCTGTGGACAATCACTGTGTTAAATGTTAATGTTTTTTCTCTGTTGTTCAGATCTCCCCTCCAAATGAGCACATTATTATTAACAATCCCTGGAAGCCCTGGTGGCAGAGATACCAACCAATCGGCTACAACCTGTGCTCCAGATCCGGCAATGAGGACGAGCTGAGGGACATGATCACCAGATGCAACAACGTTGGGGTAAACTGCAGTGATTTAGTGAACCTCATAAGGAACAATGTTCTTTTTTTTCTGACAGCAACTCATAAATCTACAGCCTTGAACGACACAACAAATGATTACCAGATACTGTACAGACGCTGCATCATTATCAAAAAGTTGCATAATAACACAAACTTGGCATTTTAAAACAAAGACTTTTGAACAAAGAGTATCAATTTACTGAATCAATGCATCTGTCTTGAGGAATTATTATCAAACTTGGATTTTTTTAATTTAGTATTTTTGTTGAGAGTTTATGCTTGAGTTGCTGGACCACCAACAACACAATGAGCAGCACAGCTGTGAGCTATTCTTGTGACCAAAGAGACAGAAATAAAAGTACTAAGACAAAAGTTAAACTGCAGGAGCTCTAGAAAAGAGGCGTTGATTAGTTTATACTGCACCTAATGTTCTGTATCTTTCCAACCCAGGTCAACATCTATGTGGACGCTGTCATCAACCACATGTGCGGCTCCAGTGGTGGTGAGGGATCCCACTCTTCATGTGGAAGCTGGTTTAATGCGAACAATAAAGATTTCCCCACTGTTCCCTTCAGCCAGAGCGACTTCAATGACCACAAATGCAGGACTGGAAGTGGCAATATTGAGAACTATGGTGATGCCAATCAGGTAATGAATGTCACTCAGAAACAACATGTGATGTTAGGCTTACAAACAACTCTTCACAGCATTTTTAAGCTCCATTAAAATGATCAATTCAAAGGACTGTCTTAACATAAATTCCGATTAATTAATTGCGATGTAAATGCTTATTTGCTGCTAAAGGTTCGCGACTGTCGCCTGGTCAGTCTGTTGGACCTCGCTCTGGAGAAAGACTACGTCAGGGGAAAGGTGGCTGACTTCATGAACAAGCTGATTGACATGGGGGTGGCTGGATTCAGAGTGGATGCCGTCAAGCACATGTGGCCCGGTGATCTGTCTGCTATCTACGGTAGTCTGCACAACCTGAACACCAAGTGGTTCTCCGGTGGCTCTAAACCTTTCATCTTCCAGGAGGTACGTATTCTTGATTGATTTCTACTCTGAAATTGTAAGATATTCCAAAAAGACCCAAAGAATACCAACCATTACACAACAACCTTTAACATTTGACTGGTGTCTTAAAGAAACATATACTGTAAATGTAGCTTCAACTCACCTCTGTATTTGATAACTTTGTTTCACTGAACCAAAAGGCTGGATGTACTTATTTTAAAATGGAAAACATGGTGCCAGGAAAACGAATTGCTGCCATTAAAACTCATTTGCAATCAAGTCAACGATTGCTGAAATCTACTAACCATGATATGATTGGATGAGTCCTAACTGTCCACATGACCAATATTTATGACTGTGCACAACAGCAGTAAACAGAGCCGTGGGAAAATGAGAACAGAAATCAAGATGACAAACAAACACATGCAAACTTGGAGCAGATGTTAATATCAAAGAAAACATTACTAGTAAACATATATAAATACAGCCAATGCTGATACAAAGGAACAAGCCAAAGGTGGCAAACTCAAAAATAATAGTTTGATGCAAAAGCATTCTGGGATCTCAATAATAACTGTTAATCAGCAGGAATATGGTTCGTGTTACTGCTGAAAAAATCGTACTGGTTGAGTTACTTTTTCTCAATCCACAAATCACTGGTACTGTGCAGTTAATCTGAACCACATCTACTTTGGTATTGAAAAGCTGTTTATTTTCCCTCTAGGTTATTGATTTGGGAGGTGAGGCCATCTCGTCTAGAGAGTATTTCAACCTGGGAAGAGTGACTGAGTTCAAATATGGTGCCAAACTTGGAACTATTTTCAGAAAATGGGACGGAGAGAAGCTGTCTTACACCAAGTATGTGTGTTATTTATGTGCTACCTTAAAATTATAGAAAATGGATATATTAAAAATATGTATTAATTAGCATTATAGACTATGGAGCTATTTTTGATCCTGAAAACATCAGAAATTGATTCAGCATCCTCAATAACCCGAAAACCAGTCCAAAATTGGAGTTCCAAGTCATTTTTTAACTTTTGTTAACATTGGCTATAATGCCATTCATTTTGTTTAACTCCGCTTATGCTAATTGTGCTAATTGCCCAACATATGCAAGTTAGCATCCGGCAGTTTCTATGTGCTGGGGACCCGTAGGCCTACTATACATTTATAACAAAAAGTGTTGGTGTACTCAACATGTACGGGTTCGCTATGCTGGCAAGTAGAATATAATAAATATAATTGACTAGCACTGGAGCTTTTAAACGTTTTCTGAATTAGATATTGTGTATATGTTGTCCAAACCTGGGTGTTTTAGAAATGATTAGTAAAAAGGGTTTAATGTGTGCAGGTCCTGGGGAGAGGGATGGGGCTTCATGCCCAACGGAAATGCTCTCGTCTTTGTTGACAACCACGACAACCAGAGAGGCCATGGTGCTGGAGGGGCGGCCATTGTTACCTTCTGGGACCCCAAGCTTCACAAGATGGCTGTCAGCTACATGCTGGCCCACCCTTACGGAGTAACCAGGGTCATGTCTAGCTTCCGCTGGAACCGCAACATTGTCAATGGAAAGGTACCTCAATAGCCATTGGATTATTTTTAATGTAGGAATAATACAAAAATAAAAATTGTAAAACTCATTTATCGATAATTATTATTTTGTAGGATCAGAATGACTGGATGGGTCCTCCCAGCCATGGTGATGGATCCACTAAGCCTGTTCCCATCAACGCTGACCAGACTTGTGGAGACGGATGGGTGTGTGAGCACAGATGGCGTCAGATCAAGTAAGTCCTCAGAAAGCCAGAGACAGGGAACTGCTGACTTTACCCAGAGAACATTAGTCACTTCTGCTTGCTACGTTGTATGTTATTGTCATGTATGTTGTCATATCACCCTTTAGGAACATGGTTATTTTCCGCAACGTGGTCAACGGACAGCCTCACTCTAACTGGTGGGACAACCAGAGCAACCAGGTTGCCTTTGGACGTGGCAATCGTGGTTTCATCGTCTTCAACAATGATGACTGGTAAGGACTTTAAGTACTGTAACAAACACAAATGTCTCCAACTTGGACATTGTGTAAGATTTAGCTAACAAGTGAAAGGCTAGTTCTAATACAGCAATGAAACATAGTTATAGTTAATATATTCCATTTACCTCCTAATTCATTCCCCTAAATACTACACACTAGAATTTACATTTAAAATTACGCCAAATTGAACAAATACATACAGTAGGACTTGATGCAGATGCATGTATGATATGTAACAAAATAGAACCCTCATGAACGATCAGCCACTACTATCAACAGTTAATTGGCTTTTTAGTCTTTGCTTAAAAATAACACAACTTGCAGTTCCTAAAACAGCAAACAAATGTTATACTATCAAAAACAAACATGCACTAGAATGTGCTCAAAAAACTTCCAACAAATAATAAAACATTTTAAATAATTTTCTTGGTTTCTCCCATCACATAAAAACTGCATATGCTTCCTAATTGATTTCCTATCTCCCTACACGTCCTGTTTGCATCCAGTTTTAATAGAAAATACAGCAAAATTAGACGTCAAGATCCTCTCAAAGAAGAGTTTCATTATGAGATTGTGGTGATTTAAAAAAATGACATGTACTTTTTCTTCACCTCAGGAACCTGGATGTCACCCTGAACACTGGCATGCCCGGTGGCACCTACTGTGATGTCATTTCTGGCCAGAAGGAAGGAAGCCGCTGCACAGGGAAGCAGATCAATGTTGGAGGTGATGGCCGTGCCCACTTCAAGATCAGCAACAGGGATGAGGACCCCTACGTTGCTATTCACGCTGATTCCAAGCTTTAACCAGTACAATGTCAAATAAATATTAATTTCAAACTTGAATTATGAACTACATTTTTTTGTTTAACTGATACAATTTGTTGTCGTTACTCTCCCCGGAATTCTTGAACAAAAAAGCTTCATTTGAGATTTTTTTTTTTTCTTTTACGTTAAACTCCCTGTATACAGTATGTGTTTGAAACATGGTGATTCAAACTTATATTTGATGCTACACTGTATGTTATGAGAGTAACAAAGTGTGAGCATAGCGAGTGTGTGGTCAAGCGAAGAGAAAAAGTAACTGTGGATGCACTCAAGGCAGACAGGTGTTAGGGATCAGAGCAGAGAAGAAATTGACTAGTAGTCAAGTGGTAGGTAATGTGAAATGTATGTTTCAATTTGTCCATGAATAAACACTGCAACTCCTCAAGATCCAAGTAAAGGGCCCTTTCTTGCATCCACATTCTGGCAATTTCCTAGTCATGGGAGGTAACCTACTGTAGCAGTTTAACAAATTAAAGGACAACATACATGACTCATTGAAATGCAGAACATCTGTCCATCTGTTGGTCAAATCTTATCAGATCAGGCATGGAAAACTATAATATGATAAGGTTTTTCTATCATCTGTTAAAAAATAAATGTTTCTCAAACTGCAGTACCATTCAAGCCTTTGAATGACAACTGCCTTCTTAAGAGTTGGCGTGGTCAGTAGTAAAAGGCTGTCAAAAACATTAAACACCAAAGGCCAGGGTTGAACGTGTTAAGCATATTTCTTCAATACACAATTTAATATACAATATACTGTATGGTTATTACTTGGTTCTGTAAAAGCTGATCTTCTGAGACTACACTTGAGTATTACTTTTATCAGAGACACATGCACAATGTTTTAGGCTAATATAAACTTGCTGTTCAGGGAATGGTCTTTGGAATGGTCAAGACTCAAGTTTAATCATTGACTGAAATTATTTTATACATTTATATTTAAAAGCTTCTTAAGCTGACTGTTAGTGCCAGTATTTTGTTTTTATAAGAAAGGCCACCTAATTGTGACGTCTGTAGTCAACACTATAAAAGACTACAATTCCCACTACAATTAGCCTGCGCTAAAAGTGACAGTGATGGGCAAGCTGCTAGAAAGACGCCGTCGAGGCACAGTTTTTAACCGTTCAATTACCCTTTAAGTTATCAAGTTATATAAGCCTTATCACGAAAGAATGAATACCTAAGTTGTTTGTTATTTTATTTGAGTTTTGCCTATTTGTTTTGACTATTGTAAAGGCCGCTTTTCTTTGTTGCATGTGAAAACGTTTTTATTTTGAGCAAACAGATCGCATAATATCATCATCGGAGGCCAAGCAACTCTTCAACCAAGTAATATAGAGGAAAGAAAACAAGTAAAAAAATGTCTGTTTAAGGCGTCTAGTGGATTGATCGAAAAACAAGGAAGGAAGCCACGACACAGACAGTTACATGATCAGTGAGTGTCCTGAACACGTCCTGTGACGCCTGTGGATGTCCTTCCCTTATTGTGTAAGCTTCTCCTCCACTGGGACGAATCCATGCCATCACACTGCAGCCACTTCAGTTCCACCTGAGTGCAGCGCTGGCATCCATCATTAGGGCAGCGTTGGGGCCCAGAGGGGCGATGAGCCAACTCCCCATCCTCACCTCCTTCCTTCCTCTCTGTCTCTACCTGTCTCCCCATCCTCACCTCCTTCCTCCCTCTCTGTCTCCACCTGTCTCCCTGCCCCATTGTCCTCCCTCTCTCCATCTACCGTCTCATCTACGGACTCACTGCCGTCTGCAGATCTGGAGCGGTGACGCTGTAGTGCCAGCCACCAGAGGTGAGACAGAAAAGGTGATGCCTGCCAGAAATTTATTTTCATATTGGTTGTCATGACAACGTGAACTACGAGCAGAGGCACCTGGGAGAATCTTTAAAGCTTCATAGAAATGACAAGACTCAGATATGACTAAAAGAGAGAGTCTTATATTTTCAAAGATAACAGGGACAGGTGATATTGTTTCTAATGTGATCACACAATACACACATACAGTAGACTTGTTGGGGCTATAGAAAAAGTAATAGAAAGCCATATTGCAGCTTCACCTGCATTCTCCTCATTTCTTAAAGTATATTAAGCATTACAGTCAGGTAAAGTTGTGAAGTGCTGTTTTATTCAAAGCTACACAGCAGGTGATGATTTTCAAAATGTGTGAGCAAGTCAAAGTGACAGAGATTGCAGGAGAAGGATGGAAGAAGACCTCAACGTTGGACTAGCCTCAACATATTGCGACTGCTAAATTATTGACCCTCTCTCCATCTTTGGGTCCGGCAGCTGTGAGGGCCTGTACCTTCCGATTAGCTGCAGAGATGTCAGTGTAGCAGACCGGGGTCTTTGGTCCTGTCATCCTCACTGATGCTTTGTGACATGGCTGTCAACGGTGTCCCCATCCTGTTTCATATTTCATATGGTGCTCCAGACCTGCCTGTCACCCAAGGAGAAAGACAGTCATCAACTTAAAGACCGAGCAACTGAGTTTTTTGGGATATTCAGCTGTCTCTCACTCTGCCCCGAGAAAGTAAAAAAAAGACAGTGGAGGGGAGGTTCATGCAGTGCTCTGATGAAGACAAGGATAAAGGGCTTTTTAATGTTGTCAAATGTAATAAATTACAGGATGACAAATTCATGTTCAATCTTAAATCTTTCAATTCAAACCTTGCAGTTACATATTTTTAACATTGCTAAAAATGTCTTGAACTGGCATTATTTCAGCATAATAACGATGGAGTATTAGTGCTAATGTATTTGTTCATGGCCATTGCAGTAATCATAAACATGTCATGGTTCCAGTGAGCAACGTGGTGCCTGGGTATATTCTGCTTCGTATCACATGGGGGCAGTATTGAAGCAAGAACTATGAAACAGAAGTGTTTCCAAAACAGAATTAAACAGGTCCATGAGACATTGTGCTTTCGGTGATATTTATTTCCTAACTACTTGACATTCAATGCAGAATTATTCAAGATGCGAAAAGAATTCATGAATGATGTTTAATTCTACGAATTGAACATGAATTATATATATTGTCAATGACAGTATAAAAGAGGTGAATGATGTATGATCGTATTGCTCATACAAACTTAATACATGCAAAACTGCATAATGTCTGGCTGTCAGTGTTTGCTCCCAGCTGAAACTGCCTTCATTGTCCATTACTGTAATGTGAGCAGTTCATTGTTTATTTGTATGATATTCAACAATCATCTTGACAAAGTGCAGTGAGACATTTTACCGGTTCAAATTGATGCAACCTAAATGGATTAAATGAGAATTTAAGGACTAGTTTGAAGGTGACATTGCAAAATAATTTATCACAAGATATATATTTTGAAAAACTCTTAAATTGGTCAATCTGAAAAAGTGCTGCAAATTGTATTTAATAGGCATACAAGGTAAACTGAACCTGAACTGGATCCTTTTTTTAAACAATGTTTAAAATAAGCACATACAGTTACATATCGTAACGTATAATAATTTTATCAAAACATCTGAATTAATTTAACTAAATAGAATACTTTCCCCCCGATCTTTCCAAAGACAACAGAAAATAGCATGTTGATATATTAGTACATTGGTCTTTGTCACAGTTACCCTTTTACAACACCTTTGCTGTCCTTGCAGTGAGTTTATTCATACCCCCCACCAACAGATTATACAGCCACACACAGAGCAACGTGAAGGTTGGCCTTTTGTGTCCTCATACATTTCTCTGCTTTAGTCTTTAATGATATCATTGCCAGGCTAAGTCATCTTTTATAACTGACACCCCACAGGGTGGCCAATATGTATGGTCCATGGTGTGCATGTGTGTGTGTCTGTGTGTGTGTGTGTGTGTGTGTGTGTGTGTGTGTGTGTGTGTGTGTGTTGTGTGTGTGTGTGTGTGTGTGTGTGTGTGTGTGTGTGTGTGTGTGTGTGTGTGTGTGTGTGTGTGTGTGTGTGTGTTGTGTGTGTGTGTGTGTGTGTGTGTGTTTGTGTTTGTGTGATCTGGACCCCAGGCAAGCTGAATGTAGGATTTGACTTAGCCCTGAATCCAAAACACAGACTGTAATATGAAGCCAAAATACCACTATGCGCCCAGCACAACTTTGAAATTGATAATTGAGACAAACTCATTCAGTCGCGGCTCATTTAATATAATGAGCAAAGTGAGCTGTTCAATTTGCATACTGATAAGATGCCTCCATCAGGAAACATAGCCCCCCTCTATGCATGGATATTCACTGTGGATATTATATTTAATCAGAGCATGGATTTACTTTACAAACACACTCAGAGGAGTGCAAACTAAAGCTTTCAATTAGGCCTATGCTAGGCCTTAATCACCACATAGATAAATTAGCCAGTAGGTCAACAGTTTCCTGAGTCAGGTTGCAAATACAAGTGCCTTAGATACGGGTCTTAGAACAGATCGAAACAATTGAAAACACAGAGCACATTTGGACGTTGGAAATGTGTTCCCAAAAGAAATCCAGCAGCATTCATATTTCATCTGTTGGCTTTGGGATCTTATGTGATGACCCCTTTCAGCTGTCGCCCTTGTGCTTTCTTTATTGATCCCTGTTATTGCTGTGGAAGTCCCCTGCTGCTGATGTTTGCTCCCTCACATTCTCTCTCCATTTCAGCAGATTCCAATTGCACAGGTGCTCTGCCTGGCTGTTTGTATTGCACATGGCGGTATAGCAGAGACCTGAACAGTGATGGCTGCAAACCTGGCCGGTCTAAATCACATGTTTGTGCAGTGGCTCCAAGCACTGCTGGAGGAATTGGACCAGGGATGCAGCCTGGGGCCTGGGTCCAGAGCCCACAGGCCCGTGGAGCAAGACTTTGTGAAAGGAAGCAGATGGTGACATGAATAGTGCAAAAGGTCCTGTCCACCCCCGCCCATTGCCTTGCGTGCAGCACATTACCTCAACAAACGCTTCTCATAATTGATGTGTTGGAATGGCCCCATCATCGCCGGATTTTGCAGAGTGGCAGAATCATCAAGGTCATTA